TTTTGTCCATCAATGGAGGCAATCAGTAGGCTAATTTCTAATGAAGAGACCAATTTATATGACAGATTTTAATGTAGGCTTTTATTCATATGTAAACATTATTTAATTACCATTATAACTAGCCATCTCACACATTTTTGCTCACTTAGTGTTTTTTTTTATTTTACAGTGGGGTAATTTTGGTGCAGTAGCACGAGATTTCAAACTTTGTATTGAATAAAAAATGACAAGTAAGCAGTCAGTAATAAAATAAGAACAAATAAAGAAATTAATAATGATAGCACAAATAAAAAATAACGACAGGCATTCGAATTAAATAAATTGCTTTTTAGTTTTTCAGGTCTAACAGTAGGGTTAAGATAAAAACAAGGGCCGCAAAAACAAAAACAAAATTTACTGAAATGTGTGCTGCTTTGGAAATGGCCAGTACGGGAGGAGATGAGAAAAGCGGTGTCGTGCCCAAGCTGGAGTTATACAACCCAGCCAGAGTAATGCCATGATGTTGCTCCTGGGAGAAGACTACAGCACCCCTCAACAAGCCACTGATGATCCAGAAGCAGAGGTGGACATCTATATGAGAGACAATCCGCCCTCTTTGGATATTAATCCTCTTGACTGGTGGAAAGTAAATGAACGGAGCTTCCCGAGACTGGCCACTCTAGCGAGGCGTTATCTCTGCATTCCCGGGACTTCTGCCTTCTGAGAGGGTGTTTTCTGCTGCGGGGCTAACTGTCAACAGGCTGCGCTCCAGACTATCCCCTCAGCACGTAGACATGTTACTTTTAAAAAATATAAAAACTAGACAATTTGTGGATTGAGGTAGGCCTGCTATTTTAATTTGACGAACTTAGTCTGATGAAACAAACTGCCGTTTCTTCAAAGCTTCAGAAGGATTCATTGTGTCTTTGTTTTGTCGTGTTAATTTATTTAAGAGAAAAATATTTAGTATAGGCCTATTTATTTGATTACTTTCTCTTTTGTCAGAAATGCTGCAGGTGCGTGAAAATCTGACAATGTGTGAATCCAGGTTCTGTTGTCGATCTGTTCTGTATTCTGCTGTTTGCACGTTAAAATAAACCCGTGATTTTTTTTTTGCATATTTAATGGGTCTGACACTCATTCATTCTATTTTTATTCTATGCTAATTTAATATTCGAATCTTATCAGTTAATATTTGAATAATGAGCGGCGGTTGACGGTCGGGAAAATTAACCGAAATGAACATCCCTAATAACAACCATAAAATACATAGAGGCAAATGTGAACATTTTAGTTTAAAGAACTTTTTTAATCAAGCAACTTACAAGCCAGGTCCATGTCGGTTTCATCCCAAGGATGTGTGCTTCTCATAGCCTTTTCTTTAATAAGGGCAGCATTAAGGTCCTCTGCATCTTGGACCTTTGCTACCTGAGAAAGCCTTGGATTCTTGGTCTTGGTCTGGATAAAAAAAAAAAAAGACACTGATTCCCTCTTTCTAAGAATCAATAGTACTCCAAGTATGATATTTTATACTTGCCCAATAATACTTACTGGCCTGCACAACTCCATACTTAAACCTGGACCACCACACAACACTTGGCCCCTTCTCCAGATTTACATTGGTGGTCCCGGTTCTGCCACTCTTCTTAATGCCACTCTCTCCCAACAGCCAGAACTTTGACAAGGGATCTTGTCACTGGGAAGCCATGGTCTGCCATCCAGAATATAAAGGAAAGGAGAGCCTCTTCCTCTCCAGGTGTCAGGGCCGAATTAGGACGAGGATTGTGGACATATTAATTGTTTTATAGTCTTGTAGAGTGGTGTGGGGAATGCCACATTTTTTTTGCTCTTGCCCTTAAACTTGCTCCTGCCTTTATTTCCTCAACTGCCTCCTTTAACTTCTCCTTTGAGTACTGTTTTTCTTTCCTGACATCTTTCTTTTGCTTTACTGACTTTCCTTTGAAATATATGTTAATCATGTAACGTTAAGTTAACCTTAACTTCAAATGATCATTTATAAAAAAATTTATATTCATAAAGTTTTGTAATTATATAAGTTAATTTGATGTATGAAATCTTATTAAATAACTTAAATGTCTGAACAAGTTAATGTTAAGTTAAATAACTTCATGAACATTTGGCAATGAAATAATCAATTGAGTTCGTTTAATTTCTTAAAGCATGACAATTAAAAATGTTAAAACATTAAATTAATGTAAGATAACGCTAACTTAATTGATCCTTTATGAATATAAATATTGTGACTGCGGCGCAGGATGACGGGCAAACAGCGTCTTCAGTCTTTAAAATTATGAAAATAAATCTAGGAATTATTGGATTTCAAATCATTAGGGGTTGAGGCATCAAAAGTAACTGAGTCACTAGCTGTTTTATGGATGGTAACTGTAATATTATTACTGAAATCTTATTAGTAATTAGTTACACTACTAGTTACTGGAAAAAGTAATATTATTACAGTAACTAGTTACTGCCAACACTGATCGCGGAGCAAAGAGGAAACAAGGAAAAAGAGTCTCAGCTTTCAAATTTAGTCATTTTTTTAAAGAAATTCAAACAATAAATACCATTTTGTGGCTCTTTAATGTGTCGTGACAGATTGATGTATTGCTTCAGTTCAAGCGGCACGTGAACCGCTCGTCTTTTCATATTTACTTAAAGTGCAACATCAACAGATCGTATTTTATTTCAACCGTGGAAAGACGTCAATATACACAACTTTTCAAGTTTAAGTCCACCGAACTTAAGTTAAATCTACTCTCCTATCTGATTTGTTTGTCGGACAAAATGGCTGATTCGGCCAGATTATGATTGGTCAGATCGCCTGTCAACCAAGCTCTACTTGCGGCTCTCGTGCACATAGAGCTGCGTCTGAGAGTGTGCAACTGCAAAATGAAGTTGTGTTGCACCTTATTGTGTCAAAATGCCCATCTTGATGAGCATTCACGTAAACAGTCGATTTATACTAAACATTGTCGGTATATAGGCTATTAAGTGAATGTAAACATTTGAGAAACAAAACTTGTGTAACAGTATATGTTAGATCCGTGCATGAGGTCTTAAAGAAACAGCAGCCTAAATTTAACCAGGAAAGAAAACTCGCTGAGATTAAAATCTCTTTTGCAGGAGTGTCCTGGCCAAGATAGGTGGCCCAAATTTACAAATACATAACAAACCGTAACATACAATACACAATAAAATACTATGGGGAAAAAACACTCGCAAAAGATACAGCCATTGGAAACATTTGCAGATCACCAAGTCTTTCTCCAAACCACGCAAAAGTGTTTTAAAATATCTAAAAGGTACCCATTGATTTAACCTTAAATTAATTTGAAGAAAATTCCAGTCCGAAGCGGCAGTATATTTAAAAGCCATAGTACCTAGTTTAGTTCTAACAGAAGGTACATTGAGATTATAATACATTTGTGAACGCAGTGAATAATTACCAACTGTTTTTTGTTGAATCAAACAACAGAGATACTGTGGTAAAACCCCAAAATTGCCTTATATATATCATTAGGTACCAATGCATTTTCCTTCGAACAGCAAGAGTGGACCAACCAACTCTACTGTATAATGTACAATGATGTTACATTTTTACAATCAGTAATAAACCTTAAGGCACCATGATACACGGCATCTAAAGAGGAAAGAAGATAAGACGGTGTATGTTGTGCACTACATCCCCATAATCAAGAATTGGTAAGAACATCACAGACACAAGTTTCTTCCTTGCATTAAATGAAAAACAAGACTTTTCTAAAATAAAACCCTATATTCTTCCTTAATTTTTTGTCTCAAATAATTAATATGTTAGCCAAAATTTAATGTGTTATTGATTATAATGCCAGATATTTATACTCGGACACTAATCAAATTTCCTTGCAATGTCTGGAGGGCAATCAAACTGTCTGACATTGATGTAGAATTTGATAACTTCAATTTTGTTTTCTCAACATTTAAGACCAACTTTAGAGTATAAAACCTTGCTTGAATAATATCAAAGACGGTCTGCAAATCACTCAGGGCTTCTTGTTTTGTACAGAACAATAAATAACTATCGTCTGCATAAAAATGAAAACTTGCTTTGTCAATGTTAACATCAAGACAACTTATGTATATAGTAAATAATAATGGCCCCAATACAGAACCTTGAGGAACACCCTTAACCACATCCAATAAATCTGATTTGCAGCCTTCAACCTGCAGACATTGTGTACTTCCTTTTAAATGAACATTAAACCACAAAACTGCATTATCTGATAAACCAACACATTTCAGTCTGTTTAACATAATCTCATGGTCCACTGTCAAAAGCTTTAGTCAAATCAATAAAAAGACATGCACAGTGGCGTTTTTCATCTAGGGACTCCAATAAATCATTAAAGACTTTCAAAACAGCTGTAGTTAGGGTTAGGTTATGCCTTTTACGAAATCCTGACAAGAGTTTTGTTCCAACACACATACCATGTAGTTTTCAAATAATCCTGGAGGACTTGATTAGTTCGATCAGGTGTGTTTAATTAGGGTTGAATCTAAACTCTGCAGGGCTCCGGCCCTCCAGTAATTGAGTTTGACACCCCAGTCTACTCTCATTTGGCGTTTTGAACCATTTTAACCCTGATGTTTTAGAAAATCTTTTCGCAGTTTATTTCATTGTTAAAGGCCATTTGCGCAATTTCAATCATCATGCAGTAACACATTGAATCAACCCTGAATCAATGTTAATGCATCAACCAAATTATCACTGAATCAATGTTGAAATTTAACATCGATTTTTCATCAGGTTTGCACCCTGAAATGTTATTTCAATGATGAAAAATAGATCAAGATGGTTATAAAAAATCAACATTTCTTCAACTTAAATTAAACCACTTATTTAACATTGAAATCAACATAGAAATATGATCAAACCTTGATTTTATTTCTCTTTTCAATCAGAGAACATGTAATCTGAAGGATGTTGTTTACTTTCAGTCTTGCATGCAAATATTTATTTTTGCCCCCCCCCCCCCGCAAAAAAAATCCTTACCCCTTTCTCAAATCGACGGTAAATTTTTGTTTAAATTGATAGTTTAGTTGTCCTATAAAGATTGCCAAAGTAAAACATAAATCACAATACTTATAGGTATTAAGCAGTGGCATTGTCAGGCTTTTTATTTACAAAAAAACAAGCTTTTTGAATGTGGCAGGATTGTAATATAACAATTAATAACAAGTTTTTATGCGATACAGATTAAACTGGCTTCATAAATTACTTTTTAAAAATATAAAAAATGCAAAACACATTTGATGTGAATTCTTTGCTCTTCATTTTCTATAAGCAGAGTTAACAGACCCTTGTTGTATTTTTATTAAAAGAAGGTACACTGCTATCTTGTGCCGACTAAACTGACTTGAACGCACCTGACGTCGTAATTACGACTTGTCAACTCGTGAGTACGAACGTCCCAGGAGGACTTGATAAATGCAAAGCTGTTCTTGGATTATTCCAGCCCTTACAAAGACCTGAGAGGACCGAACACCTGAGAAGAGATGATGCCGACCCTTCAGAGGACCTCAGATGATGTAACCCTGAAACAACAAACTACCAAATTTTGCTACAATTTTGATTGCAACATATAATCAATGCCGTTAATAGTGTTCATCTTATGGTTTTATCGAATTTTACCGTACATTTCTGCCATATGTACATCAATTTGACACAGTCACCACTGATAAGCTACTACTAAATATATTATAGAAACTTAGTTTTCTGTAAAGCTGCTTTGCAACGATTTGCATCGTGAAAAGCGCTATACAAATAAACTTGAATTGAATTGAATTATTCCAGGCTTGGATGTGTCAATAACACTGATTTTGATGTTATTTAATTTGATTTGTTATTATTTATACTACCCTCAAAAGTTTTAACTTACATTGCTTTAGAAAAAAAAGAAGCAAAATCACTTTGTACAAGAACCAGATCTATTTTTCATGTTGTTAAGTGTGAGAGAGTCAGAGCTCATTTGCGGTAAGAGATGCAGAATATGTGTGGGCTATGCAGATATGGTTGCCACACTCATCTAAAAGCATGCATGTCTAAAAAGTGCCTCCTCTAAATGGTTTGGAGACATCCACTGGCCACTGACAAGTGCTTCTTTTACAACAACCTGCAAAATAAAAAATGTATAAAACATTCTTCGCGAAACATAACATTGCTTATGTAGATGAAAGAATGACTGAACAATAAATGCATTGTGTAATGAAAAAGCTCTGTTAGTTCATACTTGCTTGCATTTAGATCTGAAAAAGCTCTGTGGTTTTGATAGCTTTGAGAATTTTGATCCATCCCTGAAATCAATTTGTTCTTATCAAATGAGTATGTCTTCTCTATGTTCATTTCTGTGATTATTTCAGTGTGGGAGTGGGATTTTTATTTTGGAGTGGGGCTATGACGCCATAAGGCTGCTCCGCGTCTGCTGTGGTTCGGCAGAAGAAAGATTTGTGTTTTAATCATTTAAAGAAATCAACACAAATCTAAACGAGTCTACCTCCGCTGTGTTTTAGGACACGCTCAGGAGCACACAGTGTAAACACACGCTAATCACCACAGAAAAAGACGACCGTTTACTATTAATATTCTTTTGAAAACCATCTTACATGCTCTTAGAATAAAACTGACTAATATGTAAATTCTTTAAATAAATAAATCGCTTTGTGGTTTGTCTGAGAGGCTGCAAATATTCATTATTCCG